CATACTTTAGTTGTACACAAACTTTAGGCCAGGCTGAGATTGAGAGGAAGTTCACGCTCCCTCATTCTGCCACCGCTGCTGCAGTGCTGTTTAAAACCCTCACACTGACGTCTTCTCATGGTTACATGCTCTATACACTGTCATCGGCATACATAAAGATGACAGCTCTCCAAAAGTAAAGCCAAAACATCTGGATTGCCCCCTGGTGGCTGACTGCAGTATAGGTCATAAAACCTGCTGCCTCCACATGAGCCAAACTAAAAAAATCTAAACACACGTCAAAAACATTTTTTTGATGTTGATTTATGTTCAAGTGTTAATTTTTCAAACAAGTTTGGTTTTAATTAGTTATTTGAAGCTATAAAGAGGGGGTTTCACGTCACAAGTGACAGCTGAGCCCCGCCAGCCGCCAACTCCCGGTCACTACTGCGCAGACTCATCCATCAATCATAAATGTCCATGACTTATCTCTAACAGTACGCTCATTATGTCTGCGTACGCCAACCTTCAGCCTCCCCCTGCACTTACTTTACAATATGTCTTCATCAGGCTCTGTCATTCAGAGAGTGTTTTTTTTTCTTCTATTCATTCTGTTTAAACCTGGTATTTCTGCACAGTCGCAGATAAAGGAAAGCCGGGGTCCAGACCTTCAAATCCGCCCACTCCACCTATTCATGCAAATGGAGTGTAACTGTCGGATATCAGGGAAGATAAAGAATAGGCCGCACTCATATATTGATATTATACTATTTGTTAAATAAGAACTTATCCTCAACCTGCTACAAGTGATACACATGTTGCTATCGTGTTTTTCCCCTTCCTGTTCGGTACAGTACGTGATTCAGAGCAGGAAGAAGGGTCTTTAACTGCTGCAGCACAGCGTCTCTATCCTCCTCTCATCTCACCGTCTCAGGAGCGAGTGCACAAACACTGGGGTTACTGCGGGTTAAACACTTTCATGTCCCTATCTCAGGGAGCACTCCCAAGGTACAAGTACCACTTCAACAAAAGGTACAGCTGTCTTTGTGCTGGTGTGTCTGTCACGCACGTGCCTTGTGTTTGTTTTTGTGTTTAAACTCGTTTTCTTGCACAGATGCTGCTCTAATGTGCTTCCGGAAAATTGCATTCATGCATAGGGTGCGTGTCCTGGAACATGCACGCTTTGCCCACTCGGATCAATTCAAGTGCTGGCAGGTGCGTGCTTCTCAAATACATGCATGATGTTGCATGTGTACAATTACAGACACACACACTGAGGTGAATAGTACTCGCCATCATTGTCCGGGCTCCATTGTGTCTGGCTAAATGAGACAGAGCAGTAGCTGGGAGGCTTTAGTGATCTGCTAACAATACAGCGCTGTATAACACAATACTATTAGGACACGCACTGGCACTCACTCAGCGCTCTGCAGACACCCCATTGTAAATCCTATGAATAATAATTTAAGAGTGAATAAAGTTTGGGCCGCTCGCTCTGCACAGCCATTGTTGTTCTTGCAGAATTTAAAGCGAAAAAATGCTTCGTAATACAGCCACGGCAGTAAATCTTAGCGTTGCAAATTGACAGCGTAATTATATAGTGCAGTGTAAAAGTAAGGCTGATAATTACAGTGTGTGTGTTTGTGAGTGTGTGTGTGTGTGTGTGTGTGTGTGTGTGTGTGTGTGAGAGACAGTGAGATTAGGTAAAGGGATGAGATCTTGGCTGTGGCGGAGTGGAGAAAGGTGGAGGAGAGGAAGAGAGAGGCTCGCTCTTGTCATCGTGGTTTAATTAACACTAATCCCGAGGGCAGACCTGTGCATGCGTGTGTGTGAGAGAGTGTGCGAGTGCTCTGTGACGGCGCCCTCGGCCATGTCCACACGTGTGTTGGGAATGATGAGCATGCAATCATGATTTGTATCTAAAGTAAAACAACACTTGTACATTTAATGTTATTTATTAACATAAACTGTATGCAGCAGAGTCTAAATACAGTATGTGAGTGGGTGAGGTGGGATAATGAGTGCTGACTGACAGCCTGTTATTATTTGGTCAGTGCGATGAATTATTTTCTCTCGGGTCAGAGGAAACGCTGGTGCTGAACACCTCTCTGATTGGATTTTTACACTGGAGATATGGAGATGTAAATAGATTTATGGAGATGTTTGCTTAGTCTCGACTCTCCTGGAACTGAGAAAAAACAAATACATCTATCAGCCCAAGTTGATTTGTATTAACTGTTAGCGTTATTTAAATAATTTAATTAATATCACTGAAGCTTAGTTTTAACTAACGACTACTAGTCAACTAGGAAAATATTTAGTCGGTGGCCGCCCTACTGCAGTGATATTGTCAGATTGGACTTTAACTTCACATTTTGTTTTGAGAACAGGTATTTCCTTTGGGTTTTAAGGAAGTAGGTGAAAGATGAAAATGAGTGTTTCCGTCATATGAGTTGAATAACGATTACCTTCAAAGTGTGTAGTAGAAGCTACAGAGGCCACGAAACTCACAAAATACAAAAAGCTCTATCCCTATTCAAAGTTCAACATGGCGGACTCCGCCACTAGATAAAAAACGTCTCATTCTAAGCTAATAACAACACAAAGATTCTTATTTTCAGCTGATTAAACACTAATGAAAACACAGTTAGAGCCTCCTAAATGTTACACACTGGGTCTTTGGGGCGAGACACTACGGGCATGCACTGGTCAATCCTCTGATACTTTGGTCTTGCTGACAAGGTGCAGCTCCTGAATGGAATTTAACGTTGTTTTTCTGTGACTGTCCGACTGATGAAAAGTGGGTCGACTGAAACTCTTAGCAACTAACGGTTAATTTGGCTATTGGGGGCAGCCGCAATGACAATATCGTGTTTCACAATTATTTTGGTTTGACAATTGTCCCATGTCTACTGATGAGGTTAAATAGTAATAGTGAGGTTAAAGAATTTGGCATCAAGAACATTTCAGTGGAGAAATTCTCATAAATAAGTTAAAACATTGTGACATTTGCCTGCTAGAGCAAACACTGCAGTTATTTTATAAAGCAAAAGTAATAACAGCAGGAAAAGAAAACATCAAACCGTGAAGGCTCAAGAGCATTAATATAAAACTTAAGAGTGCAGGACAGACTGGTTGGACTTTAAATTGAGGCCCAGGGAGACAGCACATAAACTGGTGAGTTTCCTGAAGCCTCAGACTTTTATTTCGAGACTTCTGGCTTCCTTCGATCCTGATCCCATCTAATCTGCCTCTTTTCAGAATTGTTTTATACAAGAAGTCTCTGCGATCCCGCTTTGTGATTTATCTCAGGAATAAACAATCAGGGAAAGTAGCACAGGAGCTCCAGTGTGTAGGAGTAACAGTCAGAATACTAAATTGGAAAGATCAGATCTCATTTTATGGTAAATTAATCTATGAAAAAACAGAAGCTCAATAGAAAAGTCGTCTGATCTCTTCAGGTAAACTCATGGAAAAGAAAAGAGCACAGTATTGCTGAAAGCCAGCAGACGAAAAACAGTCCGGAGGACTCTTGTAATCAATGAACTGATCAATAAAACCTTTGATGTTTCCACAAAGCGCCGAAGAAGAGGAACCGTTTCATCTTCACCACCATTTCCCAAACAGTGTGAGTGCTACGAGCTCCAGATGTAACAAACATTCCCTGTTCTACTCAGCACAAACACATACTTTATCTGCCTGCAGATAGTTTAAAGAGTATTTGCAACATTTGAACTGTTTGCTTTGTCTGTAGATGTTTAACAGATTATCTACAAAATATATGTGACACCTCATGAACAAGTTGTTTTTGTGCTTAAACTAACCAAACCTTAAACACAGTGGTGTAATACTAGAAAACAGTTGTTACATCTCAACTAATAAGCAGCATTCTCTATAAACTATCTGTAGGCAAATAAAGTGTTACAACCATTTTTAATACGACTGCAACTGCAACTATTTTCATCATCGATTCGTCTGCCAATTATTTTCTAGATTGAAGTGTAGCAGCGTTCAGTTCGGCTAGCTCCCTCCCTCATAGCAAATAATGCATCCGAGACCTGCAAAAGACCCAGACTTTAGGGAGTGTGGCCTCGACACCGACTGCAGTGATTGACAGACTGACCACAGCAGTGTAGCGGGAACAGTGAGCTGGTAGCCAGAGCTAACGGAGCTAACAGAGCTAACGGGGCTAATGTGCAGCTGCTGTCAGAATCTCCATGTTGCTGGAAACAGAGTTGAAAGTCACTAGAAGCACATTCATGGCCATTTGTTAAAGTTTCTGTGTTGTAGTAAAGTTAGTGGCTCAGAGAGGCTAACTGTCCAATGTGTGTCTGTGTGGGAGTTTCTACTGCACCAGAATATAAAAATAACAAGTGGAGGGTTAGAAACAACTAGCATAAACTCCTGTAAATTATGCGTCTCGATCAGTATACATTTGAAAATGAACTCAAAAACCACGTTTTAGGTTGGAGTACGTCTTCGATTAAACATTTGGTCTATAAACTGTCAGATAATAGTGAAAAATGTCCTTCCCAGTGTCTCTAAGTCCAAGCTGATGTCATTAAATGTCTAGTTTTGTAGAAACAGATCTCAGTTTATTTTTGCATTAAAAATTACATTAACAATTAATGGATTAAAATTAAAAAATAGTTGCCAGTTACTTTCCTGGGAGGATTCTGTAAATGTTTGTGTTGATCGACTGATGAGTTGACAAATCGTTGCAGCTCTGACTGATGAATAATCCTGCTGTGTTAGAGTAACAAAGAAGCAGAGAGTCATGTGACCAAGATACTGGTAAAAGGTCAGGGTATGACAATAAAATGAGGGAGGGAATGCGTTTTTGATGGCAGTCTACCTAGATCATGGATCAACAACATGAGCTGGAAAGTAGTTTGATTTGTGAAAGGTCAGAGGGAAACCAAATCCATTAGGAAATGTCCTCTGGAGTCAATTTGGTGGGAAACATTCAGAGAAATGATCAGTTTTATTAACACAGATATCTTATTGGAGTTTCTCCTTACCTGCCATGTCGGTGGCGAAGGGTCGGTCCGGTCTCCAGCCGGTGTACCAGCCCACAACTTTACCCCCGGACACCAGGGGCCGCTCATACGCTCTCCCTCCTACGAACCCCACAGGCCAAACGGAGACACCTCGAGTACTACGCATCTGCAAAGAAGGTAAAAATACATTTACTCAAGCTGAACACATCAGTTTCAAACATTTCAAGATGGGTGATGGACCCAAAAGAGACAGAAAGCTGTCCTCTGACAATGTTGGAGGAATTCACTTCAGGTTTTCATCAGGTGTAAAAGTCCAGCAGACTGGGGAATATAGTCTACCATGATGATGAACTGAAAACTGACGAAGCCATTTGACGGGAGAGTTATTTGAACACAGCAGGAGGCAGATCTGCTCCAACGTTCTCCTCTGGGGCTTAAAAGTACGTTTTGATGTAACAGCGACACCACTGAAGGCCAGTGTAAGTAGAACATGTTCTCAGGGTCCTGTGTTTACAGATGATGTAACACGTTAACACATTATGATGTGTGCTGTGCTGCCCAATTTGTGCAACTCACACACATTCTTTACTCAAGCAGAAGTACAGATAAAAAAAAAGACTCCAGTGAAAGTAGAAGTACTGATTCTTTACTCAAGTAAAAGTGAGTATAAGTATAAGTGAGTATAAAAGTACTCTCATTACTACTGTCTGTGTCAAAGCTGACTGATACCTTTAAAAACCCTCTTCTGTCTGTTTCGTCTTGTTACGTCTGTCATGCCTGATATGTACCAGTGTTTTTTTTTATTCAGAATTTTATCAAGACTTTTTAAAAAGAGCTTTTATCGTCTTCTGGATGCAGTCCAATGAGGTATATGAGTATGTAAGTATAATGACTTATATGTACATCACATCTATAGGCACATACAGTTGGAAGCAAACGTTTGGCCACCACTTCCCTTGACAAATAACACATTTTGGTGATTTTTTTAAAATTAAAAATATGTAAACACAGACTCTCGAGGGTGTGAAACATAAAACACAATATTTGCAACAAACATTCATGCATTGTAATGTTTTATTTCATAAATTGAACAGTGTAGCATGTGCAAAAGCTTTTGCACCCTTCACTGCCTCTACCTGTTCCCTCCACCCCGTGCAATGTTTCCTGTGCCACTGACTGCAACACAACCACAAAACATTACATTTGTGTTTTATGTTACATACCCTCAAGAGGGACTTGCCTGGGACAAAAAACTATGAATTTGTCAAAAAAAAAGAAGACTATTTAGTCTGTATGATTGTTAAAAATTATTAAAAAAAAAAAAAAAATACAATAAAAAGTTAATAATCTGCTCAAAAAACATACAAATCTACGCAAACTTCCTGCAGTTCCCAGTTTGGGTTCATTGAACAGTTTTGAATATAATATGAACTATCCATAAAATATGACACTTGGATGAATGATAGAAAAGGGGTCCTTTGAGGAAAAAGATGGGAACCACTGCATTACAGCGACAAGCACAGTTTCTAGATTACTTAGCTAACATTCGTAAAAGTAGGGCCAATGTGACATTTTTAACGTTAACGTTAAAGTAATGTATCATAACACATTGTTGATTTCTGTGCTGATTATGGAAGTTAACTAGTGAGCCATCTCATTTTTCTTTTGAACCTGCACACTGATGTGTACGGATCAGACAGGATGTACTGCGGCGCAAACACATAGCATCCGTACACTTTCTGATACAGAAAGTCATAATATGTTAAGGCATCTGTAAACACATGCCTTTTCTTATCAATCGCAACACAAGTTCTGCAAAAGCAAACCGGACATGACGTCTGAGTCTGCGGCCCGTCCTGAGTGGACTCAATAAAGTCGAAACCTCCCTCAGAAAGTCAGTGAATGTGGCGCTAATGTCGACTCTGAGATGAATTACATGTGCGTCAGTTTGCATGAGTGATTAGAGATATTTAATTTTGTCGGAAATGTGGGTGAGAGCCGCACGCAGGGACTCTGTGGCTAACTGAACCGAGGACTAAATGAAACTGTGCTGCGTGGAGCTGCCTTCCATTTTCACAGTGAATGAATTTGCACACAGCCAGAAGCAGTGCGACGAGAAATGAGACAGCGAGAGAGCGAGATAAAAGACAGGAGGAAGGGTGGGTGGGTAAGGAGAACGGGGGAGGGGAGGGTTGACTGTGTGAGGACGGCTGAGTTTTTGTGTTGGAGTATGAGACATCTGTATCTTAGAGTTGTGTGTGTGTGTGTGTGTGTGTGTGTGTGTGTGTGTGTGGATGCATGCATGCATGTTGTGTGTGTGTGTGTGTGTGTGTGTGTGTGTGTGTGTGTGAGATTCTATTTTCCAACCCCGGCCACCCTGAAGCCCGTTCATTCAGACGCTGCTCCTCATCACTCACCCAGACAGCCTCCAGCCAGTCGCTCATGACAAAACAACAGAACAAAACCAAATCAGTAAGCAGCACTGCATTACTGCACCCAGACATCACACTGAGTTCCAGCTTTTAAAGCCACGGGAAACCAAGTGCAGGTATCGCACAATATATAGACAGGATTTACAGTTCTGTTGCAAAGCATCCAAGCAGTCATGGAGGGAGAGAGCTGGAGTGTGTAACATGTGTGTAGAAAGATGAAAATAACCCTTATCTCCACTAAAATGTATTTATTGGTGAATCATTACCTCGTGGAAAAGCACGACTCAGTGACTGTTTTTTGCTCAAAATCACGTTTATACTTGCTAACAGAGGTTCAGGACACAGATGAGAAGAAGGGAGAAAATTCAACAAGGGTGAGACAAAAAGATAGGGATCAAAAACTGTGACTAAACTAGACACTATAAGAATCAAAATCGCTGGAACACTAGACACAGAGGCACTGAGACGAACCGGCACAGAGCGAAGAGGACTTTAAATACTCTTGTGACGGGGAAACTAATGGGACACAGGTGAAACCAATCAGGGCGGGGCAAACCATTAAACCCGGTGGGAAAGTGAAGTGGTAAAAGACCGTAAACTCTAAATAGGTTACAGTAAAACACAGTTTATTTATACAGAATTTTAAAGGAATTTAATTGCCATAAATAATATAGTATATAATAAAGTTGGAAACTTGGAATTAAACTCCAACTTTAACCATAAAATCAACAGTACTAATGTCCTTATTTTTACCGTAATACAAAGGTTTTACTGTATTTATTACCGTAAAAAAAATATTAAAATGACCTAAAATGTTACAAAAACAGTACAGAACTTACAAACACAAAAACCAACAGAACCCGTACAGTACATAATACAGTATAAACATTAACTCAGGTACAGAGCTGCTTTACATGGTGAGTGACATCTCAAGAGGATATTTATATATACAGTCAGTGAAGTTTTATGGAATTACAAGGTACCTCAGGAGTTTTTCCAGTTTAAGGTGTTGCATAACAACATGGTGGAGGTTGTATCGGTTTCCAGTTGTTGGATAACATACACGCCGATACCCCGATGTCTGCAAAAGGCCAATATATTCCCTACCTCAGAAAAAGCATTTCCATCTCCCATTAAGCAAAAAGCAAAAACCACCTCAAGCAAGCGACTTTTGCTGTTTCCATCATCCTTTTCTAAAGCGACACACAGTGACAACCCAGTGAGCGTCCGGTCAGGCGGAGAAAAGGTTCATGTTGATGTATTAGTGATGGGGAGAACTGTCAATCTGACATTGACAGCCCAATTAAAGGATGTCTGCCTCGAGCAAAGTGCGTATGGAACCTTGCCAGAGCTCAATGACAGAACTGTAGAGTTGCAAGGCAAGAAAATGTAAAACAGTTTATATGAACATGCTGCTCGAAGTCACCACTGACTGTACTTTCTAGTAGATAAATTAACTACAGTGGATAAAATGTGAGGCGGAAGTGAAGAAAAGAGTAGAAAGCACACGTTTTACTGACTGCAACTCGAGCCAAATCTCCAGCACCTGAGACAATTACTACATCAGCATCATGTTGATGTGAGATTTGCTTCCTCCTGTTGTTTCACATTGTGAATTTGATGTCTGATGAAGGTCCATGACTGAAAGCTCGTGTCTCTAATAAACTCTGACAGCGAGCATTACTACCCTTGTTTTCTCTCCACATGATTTAATTTTCCTGCACACCTGTCCACCAGATGAGCTTTAAAGGACCAGTGTGCAACAACTAAAACTATCTAGAGTCAGTGTTTGGTTATTACATTTCTGACAATAGATCCTCCTCAATGTTTCACACTGGAGCTTTAAATGAAACAAATTAACTGTTTTGTTGTTCAGTTTAAAATATTTGTTGGTCAGTGAAGATTTTATGTATTAGATTTCTTTAATTCTGTTAATACAGCAAAACTACACTGTAAAAAATGTCTGTAGATTTTATTTTGAAAAACTGTCAAAGCAGTAAGAGACCGTAAAGTCTAGATAGGTTATTTATAGAGCATTCATATGTTTTTTTCATGTAGCAAAATAGTTTCTTTTGATGGTAAAAACTTGTATTTATATGGTAAAATATGGAATAAAACTCCAACTAACAGTATATTCTGTTTGTTGACCATCAGACAGCATTACTACTGTAGAGGTCACTGGTCACTGTGATCCTGTGGAATAGCTGTAGAAATGCTGGTAGGTATGTGCCTGTATGCCGATCGGCTAACCACAACCCGGCTCCAGCTCCGCAGTAAACACTGACAGGATAGAGGCTGATATTAATATTTTAATCTCACTCTTGAGACTGAAGGATTTCCCAAAATGTTTAAATATCCAGTTATTTTTGTAAATTCGAGATCTGTGAATAGGCTATAAAAAACATTGCCTCCTGTGTACCAGAGGCAAAGAGCTATTGAGAGGAGAACTGGCAAATGAGAAAGCTTTCATGAGCCGACTGAATCCCTGTTGTGTTAAAACAGTGAGATAAAGAACAGGAAATTGACTTTTATTTATATCAAACTGTCAGAGATGATAACTGTAACTATTAATCTTCTAAATAAATAACATGACACACACTCACTTTATCTCTTCCTTCCCTTTCATTTCTCTTCTTCTCTCCATCTCTTTGCTCTCTCTCCTTCCAGGGGCACCCGGAGTGACGTCAGCAGCTTTGAAGCCCCGTTAATACTGTGGCCCCCTTGAGTTTTGCCT